AGTAAGGAATATATCATGACATTGGCTTTGACTTCACTGACCAGAGAGAGACCAGAGAGAGACCAGAGAGAGACCAGAGAGAGACCAGAAAGTCAAAAAAGTCTCACCGACAATTCTTTACATATTTTAATTTGATTACTACAAATAGCCATATTTAAAATGTTTTCTAGTTTTATCCACATCATCCTACTTCTTGGGACACTAAAAAATCTTTCCTTTAAAGTACCTTTAGCTCGAAGAGACGCAGGTTGGAGATCTCTTTCTTTTAAAGTCCCTAATGACTGTAATCGCCCCTTTGAGGATAATGGCAGATCTAACGGCCTCATGTCTGTAATTGATCACAACATTTGTACCTACTGTACCATGCACTGTAAACCCGAGTGCTCAAAATAGTCAAAAAGAATGATTAGTGTAAAATTAAAACTAAATAAATGTACTCCTTAATTAAATTGTTTAAATAGTAATGCAAGTATTGTTCAGTGCATGAAATTATTTATTTTAATTTCTACTAGTATAATACTTTTAATTAACCATAAATTATATTATTGTATTTACTGTACTACTGCTTTCTAATTTAGAACAAATTATTTGTTTTAACAGTCTGATAAAGAATGTGCTTAGGTAGAATAAAATCACTGAAAAAAACAGGGCTACACCAGGTCTAAACCAGTGCATCATAGATCACTTGATGTAGTGAAATAAAAGTATGAAGTATTCATCAGAAAAAGTAAATACCTATAATTTTAACTTTTTACTAAAATACATGCCACCACCGGATAAATCAAGTATCAAGTCGTTGTTGTGAAAGCACCATTCGTTCCTAGAAGCAACACGAAGACAAATAGAGGCAAGTTGAGACTGCAGTTAGCCATGTTAGCCATCGCAAACAATTGGGACATATTGACAATAATCGCCGTCTCCCTCTCGAGCAGCGTCAGCCACGTAATGTCTCACACAGCATGGACACATGTTACTGTGGCTGAAAGTGAGCAACACAGACAGAGACTTGTAAACAGAGCGCGCATCCGGAGCAATGCTTGTGCACTTCTTGTACATGCATTTGAGGAGGCGTCAAAGTTTGGAGTGGGCGGTTCCTTCCTGAAATTCGGGAGAATCGTCTAGTATACCTTTAAGATAAAAACCCCTCGATTCAATCATTTATACCCTCATTTTTGATCACTTTTGCAGTGAAGAATGCAAACGTTTTATATTGAGATGGAGACGGCATGCTTTGGTCTGATTGGTTCACAAGATTGTACATTTGCCAAGAGTCATTTGTTAGGACAAACAACATGGATATTTACGGGACAAAAGTGAGGTAGCTCAGCTTTAAATTTGGCATGCTGAAAGTCACATCAGAGTTTTTCTTTTAAGCAACCAGCCATTTTTTAAAGTATTTCTAAATCGGTTCCTGGTTCCTTTCTTACTTTGATTCCTGACTTTTCCATTGAGTCAGATCGTGTTGCGAGCCTGAATCGGAGACGAGTGAGTGATTATAATGTTTTGCCTCTTGTTGTTGTTCCAGTCTCCTCGTTTCATTCACATGGAGCAGATAGACGCCACCGTTTTTGCAAGCGCACGGCGAAACTAGGTCACTTTGAAGTTCCACATTTAACAATCGACTTGGACCACAAGCTCAAAACAACACCCCCTCCCCTCGTGTCACAATCCCAGCTCTCGCAATATTCAAATGACGCCGTTTGGAGTTTGGACAGAATGGAGGAAAGAGGGGAAGTGGCTTTTTCGCTTCGCACCAGACATGTGACCCCCTGTGGCCATGTTTTTTTGTAGTTTGACAGCTTCTAAAATATCTGAAAAGTCCAATTTATTCTGTAAAACAACATTACATTTCTTTCAATATAAATAACAAAATATAATAATGAGAATACTGTATATAACATTTCTGTTTAGTCGCAATATTGGGTCATCGCTTTATCTGTTGCCGGGGAGCAGAGACGTACTGACATATCTGTACCATACACCTCCTCCAGCTCATCCGAGGGAATCAAGGCCTTCCCAAAGACAAAGCCCCTCCAAAGTGGCCTGGATCTTTCCCTGGTCACCTCCTGGTGGGACATGCCCAGAACTCCTCCCCAGGAAGGTGTCCAGGTGGCATCCCAAAAGTGGTGCCCCTCAACTGGCTCCATTCGAAGAGAAGAAGCAGCGGTGTTACTATGAGCTCCTCCTGTAGCTTGGTTTTATAATTTTCACATGCATGTATTTTTGGCCTCTGACATCTTTCGATCAGCTTCGTCAGACAGAAAAGTGACAATCAACACTCCCCAAGAGTCAAATAGTGACTTTCCTTCAAGTTTGCAAAAGATAACATGTTTTCTAATCAGTTGAAGACAACAGCGGATTGTGGTCGGATTTGTTCACAACATTCTACTTTTTCAAGACCCCATGATGGGCTGACAACATGTATTATTTATGAGGAAGAAAGTTAGGTACCCCAGCTTTAAATTGGGACTTTTGGTCTACTCTTGAAATGCAGATGCAATGCTTGTATACTCTCCCCCGTTCTGTTACAGCAAATCAAATTGAAAATTGGGCCATTGTCTCAATTATTTTATTTTTCCTGAATATTAACTGGAACAAACTTTATGAAATCACACTTTTCAGCAAAAAAAGTTAGAAAATCTATCTAATTTGCCAGCCTTATATCAAAGCAAAAACAGCCAGATTATCATCTCTTTCCAAACCTTGTCAATACCCATTTTCTGTATGCGCCTCTTGAGAAATCTTTGCCGTGTCTCAGTTTGGATTCCCTTTGCCTGAAGCTCTGTAGTTTTAAAGTCAGGGACAGAATGAACTTTCCCTCAGTGGGGTTCCTGTCAGATATCAGGGCATTGGTGTGACCTCTCTGCTGACTGATCCACAGCCTGACTGAATATGCAGCCAGGAACATTATGATTGCACTTAGCTTTAGCGGCTGAGGCTGTAATCTGCCGCCGGAGGGTGCCTCTGCTTCCAAACGCAGTCCCCCAGAAACACAATGTGACACGGAAGCTCAGCCTCAAGTCAAATTCTGCTCACTCTGGCTGTGTGTGTGGAGTTATCTCAGTACTCTACCTTTTCTTACCTTTTTTGGTTTTGTTGATCTGTTGAATACACACATTTCTGTTTATATACACATAACAGGGGTGTCCAAACTAATAAACTCCTAAAAGTATAATGTTGTGAAGAAATCAGACCACAGCATGATTCCTTCATCCTATTAAAATGTTATCCTTTGTATACTGTAAGTGCAAGAAAGACAAAAACTCATGCATGTGAAAACTAGCAATGGAAACAAATTGTTTTTAAATCATTTTTATCAATTATCTCAATCGACTATCTTGATTTATTTAGATAGGCATGTCAGTCTTTAGACAATATAATCAATTGTGGCAAACACATTTACTCTTGGACGACATATGTGTTTATCACCACTGTATGGAGTGACAAAGTAATGACGTGTAAAGCCTATTT